TCTTTCTACCTGAAGATTTTTATTTTTTTTGTTTACTTTTTGTTTTCAACCTCCATCCCATTCCGACACGAAACGGCACTAGCGAAATTTATGCATGATTACCAAAGGGAAAGAGGTCGCATACCGATGACCGAGGGCTTTCTCGTATTGTAAAGAATTTACGAGCGGTCCAGTGTGGCCTCCGAAAAAAACCGGTTTTCATCTGAATAGAGTATTCAAACAAACGGTTCACTCATTAAGTAAAGTATATATAAGATACGCGAGTATAGGCCGCACCCGTTCGTTCGCACTTGGAGATTCACCCAAAATACAATAATTCACTATTAAAACAATAAATGTCTATCCCTTTACAAAGAAAATCCATGACTGTTAATTTTATCTGAACAACAATAAAAAAAAAAAAAAAAAACAGTCTCCACAGTCATTATCCTATGTAACGTATATACAAATACGTCACTGTTACTTTCACATGAAATTACACGTTGCTCTCTTTCCTTCCTATGTAATTCCTATATCCCCTTTATTATTCTCTTTTCTCCCCCTCGCTCCAACTTCCATTTCTGTCACTTCCCAACCTTTCTCCTCCGTTCTATTCTTTTTAACCGCACTCTCTCCCCACATATATATATATATACACCTCGAAAATTAATATACAGAAGTGGGGCGGAAGGGGCGCCACGTTTAAAAAGCTCACGATACCCCACGGACAATAAGTAACTCGCGCGTACAGTCTCATTAATAGTTGAAGGATAAATCATGAGTAAATTGGTATAGGGTTCCCTGTAGTTGACAGGGACGTATCAAAGTGCCATGGTACCCTGTACAAAGGTGCACCGTAAACCAACGAAAGGGTCAATATCAATTAGCGATTCACCTGTCATTCAATCTCCTCCCTCCTCCCCGCCATGACGCGCCTGTCACAATCTCTTTCACTTTTGTTTCCGCTTATACTCAACGTATGCATACGTGTCACATACACTTATACAGATTTATTGATTTGATCGTATATCTCAAGGGGGGAGGGGTCAGGGTCCTTTTACCGGTGTATAAATACGTAGATGTCGCCTTTGGTACCTATAGTAATTTATATACGGTAGGTATATAATTACCGATTGAAAAAAAAGGGAAAAGAGGAAGATATAGGGTGATACAAAAATAATAAAAAAAAATTATAAAAATGTATATATCCCACTTCAATATATTTTAGAAGAAACAGTTCACCCTGTAATCACGTAAGTGTCTGTAACTCTGTTTAATTTAATTACCGGGCGTCGCGACGCTTGCCTTTTAAGTAATCCGATTGCCGATCGCTACACGCCTACTTGATCCCGTACGTTAATTATCATTTATTTCGAAATGTTAGGTCTATACCTACTAATTGGATCTCACGCTCAGTTTTTCAGTGCTGAAATAACCTTAACACAGAACGATGCAAAAGCGTCGCGACGCCTTTTGCGTTACTTAATTATGCACGGATAAGGTGTAGTATGTTTTTTAGAATTTTCGTTACGTATTTACGTGACGGTGCGTACTAATGATATAAAAGTTTCTATCCATCAGCCAGTATACAGTTACGGGAGATAAACGTTACTAGTGATTATTTACTAATTTCATAAATCAATAAACTTGTTGGGATATGGTCTATGCGTCTTGTATATTTCCTTTATTTATTCCTCTCATTTACCTTTTTATACTTTCTCTATGCCTTTCGCGCATGCGACACTCGAGCGCGTTTTCCATAAATCTTCATACGTATCGAAGCGGCAGCATCCGAAAGGACCGTTCGCTCTATCGGCCAGTAATTGCTAATTCGAGCGCACGATAGAAGCCTCGCGAGCCAATTTCTCTGTATCGTGAAATCGTGCGATTCTGAAAAGCCACTAATAACAGCACTACCGGTTATAGAGGTCGAGAGGCAATCAAAGTTATAACGTACAGGGTGTCACACGTCAAACATAGTAATCAACGTGCAGAGAGACAAACTGAATAAGATATTCGTTAAATTTCAAGTGGTAAAAAAAAAAATTTTTTTTAAATGACTAACATTTTTTAAATATTTTCGTATTTTACTCTGAGAAGATTCGTCTTTTGGTATAAGCATATATCAAGATGTATAGATATAGGTACACCCTGTATGACGGTCGAGCGTGCCGGTAAGAAGAACGGTATGAGAAAAAGAGAAAAGCTCGAACCACATAGTACTTAAAAGAGCGCAGTTGTTCATAAGTAAGAACATGAGCAAGTGGGAAGAACGGGATGGGAGGGGAAGTGGTAGGCAGAGAGAGGGAACAAGGGAAGCTACAAAAGACATAAAAATACGCGCGCTCTCTTTGTGCTGTATCCGCACCCTCCCCCCTATCCTTCTAGTCTCATTCTCCCTTAGGCATATAGGTAAGACTCCTTGAATCGAAGGAAGTAGGCTGTTTCCTACCCGCGTTCTGAAATTAGGCTCTTTGAATATTTTTTTCTATATTTTTCCAAGAATTCTACTAATGTAATAAACTCCTGTAATGCCGATAAGGTAGGAACGCTCGGTCGGTAAGATACCTACCTACCATACCAATCTACGTATCAGCCCATAGCCATAAAGAAATGCCGTCCGGTTTAGATAGACTTACTCCAGATAGCCGTGGCAATTAGGTCTATCACGAAGATTGCGTGGCTTTCGATTGTTACCGACACTCGTAAAGGTTCTTGTCGCTCGTTGGGAATGCCCGGATACAAATGGCGTCGCGTACGAGAATCGGAAGTCCCGTAGGCCTCAAACCCGTAGGCCGTCTCGCGTTTCACGAACAAGCACAGCGAGGGCACACGGTATCGGTAACGAGCACCCGTGGACGCCGATTAGGTCTTAATTATCAGGGGTGCTACTTAATTGATATTAATTAGGTTGTTACTCTCAGATTAACGCAGGACTAATGGATAACGCGGTCTTAGTCGCTCGTTACGCCATTCGCAAGAATTACGGCCTACTTCGCGCAAGAGTTAAACGAGTTATCGTACCGTTCTATTTAAATAATTCACTCGACTGCCGGATAATTCTCGCTTTATCCATCGACTACGTATCTGTTTATAAGCCATCTCGATAACACCTACCGGTGACTACGACGGATCGTGTCTACACGTAAGCGTCCATACTTCGTTACAGCCGTGAACGTACTACAAGATACTCGAGAGGTTACGTAACCTAGAACGAAGGGAACTAAGAGTACAAAGGAACCTTAGAGGCGGCGACTATACGTAAGGGTATACTAACGATATGCAATATTTAGGCTGTACTGAATGCTACGAGGTTGATCCGTGAACTTGCATAATAAACTTGCGTCCTGAGGTAATATCACGGGAGGAATGGCTGTCGCTCAGCTCCTAGATGGATGCTGCGACTTGATTTGCGACGACGGGCGAACTGATTTCAATGTAAATCACTTCGGCGTCGACATATATTTGATGGCGAATATACGAAGGAGTGGCTTGGGTTATATAAGGGATGCTATGAGAGGGGAGGTCAGAAAGCGAGAGGGGAGTCATGAAGTTGACGCTCGGTAGAACGAGGGTGGAACGGGGTGGGAGTGCAGTCTCGTAGCTTAGACTTAATTACTACGATTAGCGCGAAGGGTGGCCCGCTATATCTGCACGTATTACACAGTCAGCCAGCCTCATCTCTGCAAAGCTTTGGGGATGGAGAATGAGAAGGTATGGTGGTGAGCTTCTAGTTCCTGGGGTGAGGAAAGTGAGTGAGTAACCCTCCTACCACCCATCTGCTACCCCTGGCCACCCTGAGCTCTACCCCATACCATCAGTGCCAAAGAGCCAATGGCGTAGGATTCACCTTTTCACGTAGTCTGACGTAGATACGCGTCGGACGTATCTTGGATGACTTTTAGTTGTACCTTTCTACCGTCCTGACTCTCGGGAACTCGGAAATTAAGTCAACTCCCTTTGGAGGACCCAAGGGTGCTCTCGGAGGAGGCTTCTACTCAGAATCCTATCCTATGCTCCATTTAAGTGTTGTAACGTCCAATAGAGCATGTAAATATCAACCTATATGGTTTTCGTGCCTGAAATATACTGGGTGTAGAATTTCAAAATCGTAAAAAATGATTTCTTAAACTTGCACCGTTCAGCCCTTAAAAATTTATTTACTGGGGTTAAATTAATTTGAAGTTCATATCATTGATTTCTCACCGTGTTAAACCACCGTGACCCTTGACACGACGCTTTTGACATTGTTTTACCCATTAAAGGGTGTACGTCGAGTAAATATTTTTTTTTTGCAACAGGGTATTAGATTATTAATCCCCCTTTGGGCGTGCTGCTTAAATTGGCAACTTTTCAGGAATTCTCTAAAACAATAATTTCCATGACACTCGTAAACGCTCAAGGTCTTTTTTTGATAGTCATAAATGTATGATAAAAAAAAATATTAAAAAACTGTACACACCATAGCCACCCGATGGGGAATCAAAGCAATGTAGCAACTCTGCGAGTGACTCCGATTCTCCCAAGAGCTACGGGCGGCCCAGGGGTCTGCGATTACGCCATTGGCATCAACCCTCCAGCAGTTTGGTGTGTTGCTAGGAAACACCCTTCGCTCGAACCGCCGAACTCCTGAGGAGAAGAAAGACGTAGCTACTCTGTGCTCTCCTCTCCTTCAATCTTACAACGCGTCGCATGAAACTCTTAAGGCTTCCTTGAGGATATTATGCGGCGTCCACAATCCAACGACATTGGTTACCTACGGGTCAGGAGTTTCGTGTACAGGTGTTAAATAATGACAGTGAAATCCGACAACAGGGCATACGGTTGATCCACAAGTAAAATACAGTGACTGAGGGACTCTTATACACTGACAAGCCATAGAGAGAAGGCCCCCCGAGTATACACTGCGGTCTTCAGATCCGCAACAGAAAACGACGATAATTATAATGAATATTTATTGCCACAAACACAGATGGCAGCACGGGACGTTAATAAAGATCGACATAAAACGTAACCGTGCATAAAAGCAGAGCCAAGGCTCCATTGCCGCTAGTACAATAGAGAAAAAGCACCTTATAACACAGGAAGTAAAAGTAATTTCACAATTAACTCTTTCCTATACAACATCTTCGTGCTGTATTCCCCAATTTCCCTTCCGGCGGATTTTCAACGGACAAGCTAATGGGATTCCCGGTAATCGCGTAGAATACCGAACGCGACGCCCTTAATACGATCAACACCTCAGCGTAATACGTATTTTGCGGATTAGCCATGACCGCACGAATTTGCGACCCTCGGACCGATTTGCTTGAGGGAATCGCCAATGATAATATAGATATACGCCTATGCCGTAAGACTATCAATATACTCGTTACAGGTATAATTGTATAGACTATCCAATTACTTAAAAATATCCAATACACTTACCGAACTCGTTTACGGTATCATTATATCAATTTAACATGATTACAGTAAAGTTTTGAATAGCGACGTCTTATCCAGTCTATTAAGATAGTTTCTTATACTTTTAATGGAACGTATATCACGTATGTATATTTAGTCGATAGTCTCTTTGAGTGACGTGGTTATCTTGTAAAAACAAGTGTATTAGTTATATATTGACAAAATAATGTTTCCTCGTTCTCTACGAATAGGCCTGTTGCGATACATCGATATTTCAAAGTTTATCTATCTAGTTCAGGCTTTCCCGGGCATTTCGTGCCTCACAAACGAATCGTGTTCATAATCCTATCCGCTCGCCGTTTAAAGTCTAATAAATAACGCGTATTAGTCGCTATAGGACAATTAATTCCCAGATACCTGTATCGTTAACTTGCCACTCGTGCACAAGTCGTGCCGTGACGTTTTATTTCGCAAGCGTTTTCACTTTCGAGCACCGACAGAATTTCAATGGCCTCATCCCGAGCCCCGTTTCTAATTGCAGATGATATGCTGCGCGCTGTCCTTTACTTGATTCATGCTAAGTAGGCTACCAGCTAATTATCGACATCGTCAATAAACTTTTAACTTTTAAAATAAGAACCTGAAAGCGCTTAGGTCAAATTCCCATAGAACTGCAATACTCGTCAGTAAAATGTACGTACGTACGGTGGTAAAACGGTGCACCGTAAATTGTCCAATAAACGTTCATACTTGATTTAACAATTTTTATCGTATAATGTATGTATATATATATATATATTAAACTATCAAAGGGTCACATATGATTATCCACGAGATGGTTTTTATCGTCAGCGACATATACCACCAGTAACGTATGTTTTATGACTTCTTGGTCAAAGATTTATTCGCCCTGGGTACCAATGGGTGAGAACGTGACGGGTGCGCCAAGGGTAACTGAGCGAGGAGGATAAGTGCCAGGAAGGGGAGAACGGTGAAGCAGGGAGGAGAGGGGAGGATGTTAAAAACCAAGACCGAGTGCGGCTCTTACAAAGGCCTTCTAAAAACATCGGCTCTCCTTTAGGAACGCAGGATGAAGTGAATGATGGTTCTGGTAGCTATACATAGAGCTTATAATAGTTGATAGCAGCACCTCGTGAAGGACGTGGCACAGTCTATTATCTCGCCTAGATCGGAAATTAGGGTAAGAGACGGTAAAATGAATGGGGAAGAAAATAAAAGGCTGAGAAAAAAAAGGAAGATAAATTCAGACCCTTGGAAGGAAGAGAAGTAATGTATGACAATTGTTACCGGTCTTGAATATAAAGAAGATTCGATGAGAGAAATAAGAAAATTTGCGCAGGGTGATTCGATCACCGGATACACTCCTGGCTACAACGCTCGACTCTGAATAAAGATCAAGTACGAGATACATCGCGCGATCTTTTCGCTGTGGAACCGCAAGGCGGATTCTCACTATGCTGTACAACGTACTGTTAATCGAACGTTTTGTAAAGGCCGCAAAGAGCACTGGTTCCAATACGGTTTCGATTCATTCTCATTCGAGTGACCTAACGCGTTTCGAATAATGATGGATGCCCTCCAGGTACGTAGCCCACAAGGGACCCTTCGGGGGTTGCGATAACATCTGCATGATTTTCCGAAGGAACATTACGCTTCGATAGTTAGCAGTTGGAGCGCACGAAGTGTAATTAGTGATCGTGGTGAAATTCTCTTCCTTTGTTCCTGGTAATGGCCATCCATTAAATACAGGAAAGGTTGGTGACGGCCGGAAGTGTCCAGCATAGAAACCAAATGCGATATCCTGTTTGAGAAGGATCCGACCTGTCAGTAGCAAGGGACGACAATTGTCTTAACAAATTTTGTAATATACGTAAGGGAGATTACATTGTACGAAATCGCTGTTATCTAAGTCTCAGTTGCAAGTGAGCATTCCTTTGAAGAGGATAACAGCTTTACCTGAGTAAATGTCGACGTTGTCCGGTTTAACGTCTCCAGGATGTCGAGGTTCGTGATAACGACTGAGTGTCAAGTAGTAATGGTGATACGATTTGTGCCACCGTTTCAACTGCTGCTTGTTTATTCTTCTTCTTTGGCCTTTTGGCTTTATGCCCTCATAGAGGGCCAAGTGCCGGCTGCCGCTTGGTTAGCTGAGACGTGATGAAATTTTTTTGAATCCTGAAAAATAGTAGGATCAATAAAACGAAATTAAAATCTTCACTTTGGAAAATTTAGTACCAAGTAGATGCATGAGTTGCTGCAATGGAATCTTTTATTATCGATATGGTTAAGGTGGCTCGTTTCCATCCGTACAGCATCAGCGCAGCTTCTTCTGGCTCATTTGCCGGAGGCTTCGTCCCGAAGTATAACATGCCGGCTGGGTGGGCTGGTGGAAGTGTCTGAGCTGCAACCAGTGAGAAGATAGATACCAATGCTCTTTCTCTCTCTCACTCCCAAGAAGATAGAGAAAAGAGAGAGAGAGAGAGAGAGAGAGTGATAAAGAGAATGAAGAGACAGAGGAGAGACAAGGACAGAACAAAAGAGAGACACAAGAGAAGACTGCTGACTGGGAAGCAGCGCATAACCTGGTAGAGGTAATCGGAAAGGTTGAGATGGAAGATATAGGAGGAAGAGGATGAAATACAGAGAACGAGAGTGAGTGAAGGATGGATGGAGCGGAGGAGGAGGAAGATTGCCTTGGAATGAGAAAAAAGGGAGACGGATGCAAGGCTAGGGACAAAGGAAAGAACTTGTCAGGTAGCACAGCCAGCACAGCCAGCACTGGCGCCCCCTGCCCTGCCACTCTTTGGCTTCCTTCAGTTCTCTCTTCTTCTTCTTCTTCTTCTTCTTCCTCCCCCTCCTCCTCCTCCTCCTCATCATCTACTTCTCCTTTTTCCACGTCTCTTCTTCCAGCCTGCCCTTCCATTCAGCTCGTGCCCTGCCCTTCCTGGGGCTCCTCGGCTCCAGCGTCCCTGCGGTCGCCGCCATCGCCAGCATCGCTTATACCTCTCATCCCTTCGACAACAAAGACCCTTCCCTTTTGAATGACTCCTCGTTCGCAACGGTGCTCCGTCTCAATGTACGTTGCCACATTTATTTTTACGTTTAAGACCAGCCGCACTTGGAAGCTTTGTAAGGCAGCACGAACACCACTGACCGTTTATCAAGCCTGGAACTTGAGAAGACTCGCAGTGTATTATTCTCATGTCGAGGACTCGTCGCTCTGGTGTCGGACCACCCTTATTTTCATGTTGACTATCCACTCTGTCACTTTTATCACTAATATTAAGTAGCCCTTCCGATCTCATTGCACCGTGTTACTGCCTAGAACAAATTTCCAATGAATGTCAATATATACAAAATCCACAATATACATATGTTATATCAATCAAAGTATACCATTCACAGTTGTCCTTTAATAAAACATTAATCGTTATTGTATAATACCGCATTTCATTTTCTCTCAGTTTCTTTATATTCTCCTGGCATTCACATTTTCCTTTATCGTTACCCGAGAATCCTCTTTACGGCGAATTCACGAGTAATCGATATAGACGGAGCTGCCTCGTGCAAGCGACTCGACTTTTTCCATAGCTGAAACGACAGAGAGATATGGAGAGGCTGGAGGTAAGAGAGAGACCGTGTTACTAAGAACATACTATAGAAGATTGAGTGGGTTCGAGGGACAGAGAGAGAGAGAGAGAGAGAGAGAGAGAGAGATAGTGGGGAGAGAGAAAAAGACAAAGTCAGCCCCTCTTAATCCCTCGACGTGGTTTTCATAATACAACGTGAAAGGGCTCAATAAAAAAAGGCAAATGGGAAATAATAACAAGTAGGAGGGAGAAAGGGCATACGGGTGGTGAAGTGAGAATACTCACACGCCCTCCGCAGGCTAATGGAAATAAGTTGGAGACACCCTCTTCGATGCCGAACAGCTAAGCCTCGGGAATACACGAGGATTCCAGTTTCCTTTTCGTTTCAACTTCGGGTTATACAATTGGCAGGATGAACAATTCGGTCCCCGCGGAGCTTTCCAGCGAATTAGACGATAAATATCCTTGATTTACAGGACGCGAACTTTCTACGCAATCAGGACTCGGGTTTCTTCCTTCCTTCCTTTCCTTATGGCTGTATCCCCAGTGGGGGACATGTGCCAGTAACTGGTCCTAATAATCGAGGATTGGAGGTTCAACACTAGATGGCGATGTACCTTGTGAAACGGGCCTTATCCAACTGTACGTGAGGGGACCTACAAATTTTATACACCGAATCCAAACAGTGCTGGGCGAAATCCGTATAAATACACGACTCGGGTTCTCTCGCTATCTCACCCGTAAAACCTAAGACTTCGTACTTCGTTGGCGTTCATGCGTACGAGGCGACATCTGCACCTCGAAACGTGAAACACTAAAGTATCAACGGGCACGCAAACTTCTCGTGAGTTGACGAAATTATTATATTCTTTTTGTAAGATGGATAATAAACGAAATGATAAATTTCCATTAGTCGTCCTATCAGATTGTCAGTGTAGAATAATAAACTAATACTAATATATATAATGGAAGGGTATGGACGGTCTGAGTTAATCTCGACTACAGAGCAGCTCCGTTAATCGTTCACCATTGTAATTAACCTCTGCTGCCATCTGTCTGGTAGTAATTCCTTCACACAGAAGAGAGGAGAGACACCGCTAATTAAACATTGACGTAACACAATGGACAGTTTACACTAAAACCAACAGTGGCTGTCTCTCTGAAAGAAAATATCCCGGCTCTCTCTCTCTCTCTCTCTCTCTCTCTCTCTAAAAATCCGAGGACAATTTTCGAGGATACACGTAGCATGAAGCATAGAATAATATGACTAATCAATTATACGGAAAGTGGGGTTCGTTAAGGTCTTTCAATCGTTTATTCGTTTTAATCAACTTCTATCTAAATCCCAACGATCCTTCGTGCTCACTGGCGGAAAACAATGAAATTCTTTCATAGTTTGTTGGGCATTTCTTCGCGTACAGGATCAAAGATTTTCTTTCAGGGACAATAACGTTACCTTCATATGGATGGATGGCACTTTTGGGATTAACGAGGTAGAGAATATAAAGAGAAATAAATGTGGAATTACCTAAGGAAGCGAGGAAAAGGTAAACGCATACAGTTAAAATTCATATATCTATACGCGCGTGTGAGTGTGGGTAGTCGTGTTGCGGTAAAAGTGGAGTTTGCCAGGAGAAAAAAAAGAGGGAAGGCTAAGATGGCGGAGGGAAGTAGAGGGCGTCCAGAAAAACCATAAAGGAAAGGTCGTGTCGGTGGCCAGGCAGTTCGAATCGAATTGGACAAAGTAGGTGCCATTGGCGGAGACTGGCCATACGTACGGATTTCGATTCCTTTCATATTGACGACCACACTGTATAGGACGAACGTGCTTCTGAGTGAGGAAAATACTGTAAAGGAAGATATAAAACAAATAGGAAACAGACCTTCTCTGGTATCTCTTTCTATGACTATCTTTCTCTCTCCGCTGTCGGTGAAACATGACAATAATACGATATGAGGCTGCAAGCCACAGAATATAACGTAACTTGCCTTGACAGGCAGGGCACCCTCCGTTCTCCTCTTCCAGCCGCATCCACAGCCATCTCCCCATCGGCAAAGAGAATCAGAAAGAGAACAGAAGGAGTCTGAGCATGCTCACGAGTGCGACAGCCAAAACTTGTCGAGGGACTGGGAAGCGAAGAGAGACAGTGAAAGGAGTGAGAAGCTGTCGGTAAAACAGAGACCGATGAGACCAGCCAATGCTAGTGGAACGAGGATAGACTTACCACAAGATACAACTGGTGCAACAGGGACGGACTCATCGCCGTTCATCCTTCTCGCTCTGGGTATTGTGTGTCTGGGGTTGTAGATTGCGGTTTCTAGCGAAGGCTATGAGCTGCCATATGTTTGATCTACTTTACCAACGGTACAAGAGCTAACTTGTAAAGTGATGGTGAATTGCATGATTGCATCCATCTCGTGAAAGGATATTACCTCGTTGCGATTCTTTGAAATCTTCTATTCGATACTACGTATGCTGACTGGCTGAGTGGCGCCACTGTTGACAAAGGAATCGTTGATTCATGGTTATAGGAATAACATAAATTGCCACGTGTCATTTATCTATGCAACGAACGTTGCTGGAAAGTAAACAGCTGCCGTGTCGCGCGTGATACATAATCGTTAAGCCACCCTTAATACCAGCGCATAAAACAGTCAGGAGGGAGGATGTGTCGTTGGACGCGATGAAATTTCAAAATTAGAGGATGCTTCGATTGACTCACGGTATTCGTTATTTTTTTCTTTTTAACGATTCTACATACTTCTCCCAGTCACGTGCACGAAGTCAAGGTATCGCAGAAATTGAATAAGAATATAAACGTTTGCACGGCCACATCCGTTCTAACTTAAAGTAATAAAGTAAACTCCGAATGGCTTAGCAATCCGGGCGGTGGCTCGTAAATTTACCCCAGTTCGCTCTGACCCCTTTCGCTTTTCTACCCTCGTAACGATTCAGGCTTCTCAACCATCGACCCTCTTAGCCACCCTATCGAAAGGACCCCAAAACCGACGACAGGGGACCACTCGAATAACAAGGATTATAGAGCGGATTGTCCCGGATATTCGGACAGCGATTCTTGCGGCTCTTCCTGACACTTGGCATTTTGTATAAGTGTAACGTGTACGTGGATATACTATATACACTTTACAACTTTAAATGTTCATCCCAGTCGTCGTCCTCTCGTTGATTCCTCGATTTGTCCCACAGTCGTTCCTTTGTCCGTTGGATTAATCACGTTTGATGCCATTAAGCTTATTCGGGGATTCCCCGGCTCTCCCGATGTATCTGAAACCAGTCGTTATATAAACTCACGGGTTAAATTAAATTCTCCTTACTTCACGCTCAATACTGTTCACTTACTTATATTTCATCGTTGTATAAATAATTTGTCTTTATGCATATATGTGTATCCATCCAGACATATCTGAATCATCTTTAAGACATCTAAAAGACAACGTCCGCCTTATTGGACATTTTAAAGACAACCTTTGTACCTTATGGGATCGTCTGGATACTGAAGTCAGGTGAGTATAACCCAGCCTGACCCGACCCTCAAAATAACTCCGGCATTATCCTTTTACAGTAACAATCCTTACGTATGCGCCATAAGTAAGATCAGTAAAATTTATCTGAACTAATAAACTTATCTGAAACATTATTCTGTCGGTAATACGAAATTTTCAAGTTTGTGGATTCTACCTGACACCAGAGGCGCTGTCTTCTTTATCGTAGCCATTCGCTTTATCGATCGAATAGTACCCTGCGAAAAGCTCAACGTTCTCTCACTTTATTATACAAGTATATACTATGGGATACATTACACTATGTAAAGGACACATAAGGCACCCTGTCGTCACTGTCGCTACTTGAATATTATCAAATTAATTGGAAACATCACGATTATGGACAGAGAAGGAGAACATTGATTGTTTCTGCATGAAGTGCCTCGTGCGTCGAATAACGTCCACTTTAAGTGCCGCCATTAAAATCTTGCAAGGGCGTGTGACGGTATGATTCTTTTTTCGCTTTCGCGACACGTAGACATTACGATGTCGTTAAGAGGATACGAGCGTCGTTCACGAGAGAATTTTAATTCACGACTGATAATAACCATAGTCCTCCTCATTTCTCTGTACTATAACCATACGCGTCTATGGTATACTACATACTTACAGCCATACCTATATCACACCAATGATATACAGTGGAGAGAAATTAATCGGTGTCATTTTTTTAAACGGTAGTCATTATCAATTCAGCTAAGAGTCTGCTGGATTATCTTCTTATTTATGTACCATGGTGCTTAAAGCTGCCGTTGTCACCAAACACCTTATCGATGTAATAATGCTCTGAAAAAAATTAGTTCATTATCGAACAATCTGCTTGGGAACATTAAGAAAAAGTTTTTCAACCCTTTCAACAATTTTATTCACGACGGTTCAAGGGTAAATATCGATATCTCTTGCGTGAAGCCCACAGAGAATAATAAAAGAACGAGGGTTTGGTTGTAACACGAGGTAAATCGTATTCATTATGCAAATCCGTTCGTTTGCTCCGAGGGTCTGAACCCTGCGGGGCCCTACGTTCACCTAGTACAGCAGCACGAAACACGAAGGGAATACTTGGATAGAAGGTACGAATACGAATAATAGGGCTTTTCCAGGGCGTCGCGAGTCTTCGTGGTACAAGCAACTCTAGTATGTATAATTTCCGAGGGTTTTTAATGCTACTTTAACGAGCGGGTCTATTGAATTAACTATTTCCGACGAAACGGTAAAATCCAGGGAACGTTGTCGACGCTACCTGCTTTTACGACGCGGCCAAGAGTAAAATTTATCTCCCAACCATCGACTGCCGTCGAACGGGCGAGAATTTATTTTTTATTACGAGCGTCGTTCTCGATATTAACGACAAATATGCTCTAACGACATTATTTACTGCGAAATGGCAAAAATACAGCTGCTTGGAGCTTTGACGGGGACGTTTCGTTCAGTCCTAAAGGCCAATAGCGAATAAGCGTTACGCAACGATCGTGAATGTACCTATAACTTACTGTCATTCATGAAAACGATACCTTAACGTGAACACGATAGGAACTCACTTCGTCGTTACTTATTCGACTCATAAAGTCTAATGTGTCATCTTGTATACTATACGTAAATATATGGTTCTTGAGGAATTCGATAAATTGTCTGTCCTCTTCCTTCGGTCTAAGGACGACGCTTGAATATACGACAAATTTTTAGTTTTGAGATTGATCTAAAAAGAAAAAAGGTCCTGTTCGTGCTTCGACGAGCGGAAAAATACTGGACTGCTATTTAGATGGATAACGACCATAATACCGTTTCGAATATATGATTGTCGGTAACGGTTTGGTTATATGTATTAGCTAGTAATAGCACTCGTAATTATGCTTTTCACGAATGTAATAATGACCTGCAAACGTAATGGCTGCCGTACTAACATGCAATTACCCACCGCTTCATGAGAAATGTATCGATAATTACCGTACCAGACGTATTCTCTCGCGCGAGGCCAAAAAGCCACAAATGTGCATCAATCGGATAGTTCCGTACGCTGCAACGTTTCTACCTGTTTCTGCTGATTGGATGATTGCAATCTCTCTGACGTATCTGACTCGTACGATCCTCTTGATAAATTCATGTGAATTCACGCTCTTTAGGAAACACTTTTTTAGAAACGTCATTAGTCTGTTATACAACTGAAGGCGTGGTAATCGTTGGATGGATTTTTGGAGAAATATGAATTGATGACAGTTGCATTTGACGGTTATGAGATGACGTTTCATCAAGGGAATAATAAACGCTACGGAATCGTTATGATGGTCTAATATGCTGGTGTTCGAGAATTACATTGCTGAGGATTATTAAAATCATCTATACTAATGAGACAATTAATATTTATACCTATAAAGCTGATCGATTGAAACAACAAGCGGACTTGAGTGCTGTTTGATACTACCGCCATCTTTGGCTGTAACATGGAACTTGCAGATTCTTACGTGAGAATTAGCTCCAGGGATAAATTCTTGGTGATTGATGTCGATAATTAATAAGTAAGAACGTTTGTACGTGGGCAAACTTTTATTGAGAAGAAATGTCTTTGTTAAATTGGTTAATATGATTCTTTGTCTAAATGATATACTTTTTGTTAATATTTGAACGATTCTGAAGGTGTAGGATGAGTTGCTTTACCGTTAGAGCCACGTTCTGATTCGTTTATGGAAAGAAAATGGCCGCGAATAGACCATTCCCCTGGCTTGACTTCAGGAGTATGTGTTGGTATTTCATTTTTTTTTCATTTATAAATGAAGATATTTATGTACAATTATTTTCTATATTTATTGAAGATATATGTGCGAAATAAAAAATCATCAAGCAATAGCGTTAGAAATTTATAAGTCATTGATTTATCAATATTATATCTAATATTAAAATTGGTTTTATATAAGAATAGTCATTCGTTTGACTAATATGGGGAATCCGGTAATCACTGGACAGGCTGCCAACAGTGTCATGGCCTTTTCCGGTTCACGCTTGCTCTGACGAAGACGTGAGTGTATACTGTAGGGTAAGATTTTAAGTAGTCTCGCCGTATTTTTCTGTATTTTGAGTGTCTTGAAGGGATGTATAAAGTGGCAAGATTAACTAAGAGGAGTTTAGTGTCTGTGCATATCGAATTTGTTCATATTTTTCTTGGATGAAACTGCTCCATGCCCATTCTTTAGACCACATGGCCGCATGTTTTCCCCATTGTTTTTCTCTACGCAATATTGTTGAAAATTCCCACTTATTCATATCTTTTTTATAATTGCATTATTTAATTGAAGGTTCATTTTTTTTTTAATGAAGGCGGTTCTTAACGATATCAAAGAAACGATAAAACTATGAGATAAATAGTTTTAGTTAATGCAAGAGAAAATTATTTATTAATATTTCAATGAGGTCTATTAAAAAGACGCGTATCTGACGTTATTTTCTCTTTTAATTGGGCGCCAAATGTTAATAGAAATTTTTCACTATTTTATTTACAAATGTATCTTCCTGTTTGACATTTGCTTATGATCTATAGAAGTATGGTTTCTTGTTAACTCATAAGATACAATGTTACTGACAAGTATTAAAAACTGTTATTTAATTTAGTATTTACATAAATTTTGGAGTAATATTACATTTCTGTTACATTAATCAATATTTATCTGAAATCATTGTTTTTCTTTCATACGTTATGAGATTATAATTATTATGAAATTGCTAGGTATACTTTCCAGCTTCATTAAATTTATTTTACCTTTCAGGTGAACCATGGCAGACTTGGAGACATTTGAAGATACTGCGTTGACTTACACAGATCCGTTGCCTGTCGCACTATCTGCAGACTTGCCTGAAATCAAACTTTTCGGACGTTGGAACTGCGATGATGTTCAAGTAGGAGACTTATCTGTCCAGGATTACATTGCGGTTAAGGAGAAGAATGCAAAGTACCTGCCTCATTCTGCTGGACGTTATGCTGCAAAGCGTTTCCGCAAAGCACAATGTCCCATTGTCGAGCGTCTTACTAACTCCTTGATGATGCATGGCAGAAATAACGGCAAAAAATTAATGGCTGTTCGAATTGTAAAGCACGCCTTTGAGATCATTCACTTGCTCACTGGTGAAAATCCTCTTCAGGTATTTACTTGTATTCTACATGAACTACGTTACCTTTCAATTTTGTCTAAGAACTTTTTAATCATTTTGCATTTCTCATCTTCCCTTCTTAGGTTCTTGTGACAGCCATCATTAATTCTGGTCCCAGAGAAGACTCGACACGTATCGGTCGTGCCGGTACTGTACGTCGTCAAGCAGTTGACGTCTCTCCTCTGCGTCGTGTTAACCAGGCAATCTGGTTGCTGTGTACCGGTGCACGTGAAGCCGCTTTCCGTAATATTAAAACGATTGCTGAGTGCCTAGCGGACGAACTCATTAACGCTGCAAAGGGTTCGTCGAACTCTTATGCGATCAAGAAGAAGGACGAACTCGAGCGTGTTGCCAAATCCAACCGATAAACATACTTGATCGTGAAAAAAATAAATAAACATTCTACTTTAATATGTTCTTTGTCTTTTGGAATGTCCCATGTGAATTAGTTATTTCATATCGAGTTGAGAATAGATGAAGCACTTCTGGATTCTATCTTCCATGCTTTGGTATGAATTTTAGAGTGCAGAAAATTTTGATTGGTGGAGTAACACTAGTAATAAAAATTGCAGTGTTTTTCAATAGTTGGTTTTTTGGTGTAGAAACGTCGGCGAGTCGATGTTGCTCATGGCGCCATCTGGAAATCAAATCGTCGTCTGCTCTCGTGTACATTCGTAACGTCGTCGAGAGACGGACAATTCGCAAAGGGTATTGTTCCAGCTCTTAAAATGGCAGGAGCTTTGAAGAAGGTAAACAATTACTTGTTCAAGTATATTATTGTTGGTACAAAATTCTATTTTAGTTGTATTGTTCAATATTCTAGTTTAGAAAGTCAACCCTTCTGTACTGATTACACAACACATCATAACCTTTCTGTTTTTACTTTTGTTGTTGACTGTTTGCTATTGGATTTTGTGTCAATTAACTATTTAATAAATTTTATTACAGACCACTGGATTGACAGGACTTGCTGTGTCAATACAACCGCATTATTTTCTATCAGTTCTGTATAGTAAAGTTCTTCGAGCCCTCGAGAAATTACCACAGGATTATATATATAGGCAACAAACTGAAGAGATTATAAGAGAACGAGCAGCGATTTTAAAGAATGTAATATTTCAATTCATATTTTCTACATGCAGTTTACTATATATTTTATTTAGCAATATGTTAACATTTTTTTATATTTCTACAGTATTAGTATTGAATAGACTATTTTTAAAAATAAAATCTGTTTCAGAATCCTGATTGGAGAGATGTTGAAGCCAAGATTGGATGTGGTCAAATGGAGGAACTGATGATACAAGCTGAAAATGAGTTACGTTTGGCTAAGAACATGGTACAGTGGAAACCGTGGGAGCAGCCTGAGATGCAGGAGCCACCAAACCAGTGGAAGTGGCCACCACACAATTAATTTGATGATTCTCGTAGGAATCTGTATATTGTAAAAAACTTCTCACTCTAGAATATTGATTAAAACAAACGTACGTAACTGCACATTTCTCTTTCTTGATTTAATTATATTTTATTTTATTCATTAAATCTTTCATACTTAAAGTCGTATAGTTTTAACAGTAAACAAACATCTTTCAGGACAGTAGAATGACACTTGTCACTACTACTGAATTTCTAAAAACAAATATTTTATGCCTATTACATCTAATTTCACGTTTAAAATGAATTATTACAAATTTAGAATTGATTAAAAATTTCTATAAACCTGTAGTACTTTTTTCATTAAGTTCCTCTTGAACAGGTGTCATACCAATATTCTCAATACGTCCAGTAATACCTATAAATTTTATTAAATCATAACATAATATATTATCATTCGAACAGACGCAATTTTCATACCGTCTCTTAAATTCCGATCAATTCTTCCAATAGTAACACAAAACTCAGCTCGGCACTTGTGCAAATTTGTATTCTCATCCAAATCATTATCACTAAACTGTGTAGTCCTTGGTTCCGAAATATACGTTGAATCGTCATCATCCATGTCAGCGGTTTCATCGACGGTAGCATGAATCAGCTACGTGTGAGAAGTAACAATTAACTGAAGCATCTTGCAACTTGCCGAAGCAATATTGAGAAAAATCAAGATTTTAACGAGATCAGGGAAATGTAATGACTACAATATTATTATAACGCTATTTTCACGTATATGAATTTTATGCAGAAATAATTGTAAATTCCAACAGTTCTCTTCTACGACTTTCGTAAATCGTTATTTCCGTCCATGATTGGTCATTTCATCATTCAAAACTCTTATCCACACAGATATAATCATAAAATTGAACCTATGCTGATACTGTAGATTTCATGAGATCAAGATCAAGCTAGGTCATTTCAAAATCTTAAAAACTCTTTAAAAATATATTCAGAAAACTAGCTTACAGTCAGCTGATTGCCTTCGACTAATTCTGTCCCAGAATCGTCATTGATTGGTAACGTTGAACATCCAGGATCATTTCCAAAATTGCCCAACTTCTGACGCGCGTGATTTCCAGACCAATTTTTCAGCTTTGAAAGATCCGGTCGATGTACACTTCTGAAAGAGTTCCTCGCCCTGAGACCGATGTATTCTTTGGGATCACCGGCGTCATATCCTTTCACTGATATCGCTGATAAGCCTGTATTGAGGATCTCGCTGTCCATATGCATTTCTTTGTCTTCGAAGTAAGGTGTCAGGATAGGTGTGTCCGATCCATTACGTAGCTAACATAATAGAATTATTTATTGACAATTACAAAAATCGAATTAAAACCTAGACCTTATATAAATTCAAATAAATCAATTATCTATTGATCACCCCATGGACGGTAGTTCATTATGGAGATATTAATTAATTATTTCGGCAATAAATACATTTTAACCTATGTATACTACGTTTCACTTAAATATCTGAACAATAACCTAAAAGAATTCAATCTTTTTCTTTGACTAAAGAGCTGCTCACTATTAAAAAATGCTAATGCATACTTACAGCCATGTGTAATGGCGTCATTTGGCCTATATTTTTATCAATACCGATGCTAAAAATTTTATTCTTCTTATCAAACACGTCACTTTTACATCAAACAGTAAGAATAAAAAGAATATCCGTTCCACGAGCATTGCAAACAATCGAATAATACAAACTTACAAAGGTAGTAGTCGCGACCAGTAAATGTCTTTCAAAGACCCAACGGCTCGAGGTCGTTGCGTAGGCAAAAGATCTTCAAAGCCGTCTAGCAAGACTGTCGCAACAATCTACCTTATTGTTTCAATATACTTCGCATAAATTCCCATATAGTATAACTAGGCCCGTATTCGTACATCCCTCTCGATTTCTTATTTTCCCTCGTGAACCGTGGAAAAATACTTTTTTTTTCATACCGCCTACTATTTATGTGACCAGGGACAATGAGCATTACAGAGTGAAATCACAGCCATGTATATGGGCATATCACGAACAACGTAATTTCCTAAAACACCATCATATACAATCGTAAACTCAGGCGTGAGCCTAGCAAACAAAAAAATCCCTAGACAAAGTAAAATTAATCACACAACAATTTCACAAGGCAATACAAGTCCATTGTATCCATAAAGCTGGAAGAGGCGTGTACGAAATATTCAATGATAATTTTACAATGCGAATTGTCTACCGTCTATATATATATATATACATATATATACATAAATGTCTATATAAAAGTGTATGTAGTATATGGGCATCAGAGATATCGTATAGCGCGGGAAGAAAGGTGTAAAAAAAGTGGCCGTAGGGAATGGTTGACTTCCGTCGAAGAGTTGAAGCGATATCGTGACCTTGAGTGGAAAGTACTTTCAGAGGCGACAGCAAAGCCGGCCGTGCGGTAGGTCAGTGCCAGCGTAAACGACCAAAAAAAGTCGAGCCATGGTGGCCGGGCGTTGTTGGTGTTACGGTGCAAGAAGAAACGTATGTATGGTGCTGTATCTGCTATTGCTGTTGCTATTGCTGCCAAAAGGACTATGAACGCCGCGGCGAACTTGCCTTTTAATAAAACACAAGAGCGAAGAGCATTTCCAGGTTTTATTCGACAGAACAGATCTTACAGCCTCTTTTATCTGAATCCTTGGATTTTCTATTCCTTTGTACTTTTGGACGTAACTTTCGTCTCTCAAGGGTTGTTCGGACAAAGGGATTTAAATGGAGGATTTTTAGTATTTTTTTTTAAGACAGCATCCCATTTTTCATGATATAGGTACGTATATATCTTAGGTTTTTCATAGTCATTATTTATTTTTGAGGTACTTAAGACTTTTTAATTTAGGACTTTTGATAAACAAACATTTTTGTTACTTGTTATTAAAACTATTAATCGTTTAGGTAATATAGGTGTCGTTTTAATAATTTTATTATCTGTAGTGTAAATGGGTGAAGATGGACCACCGTGAAGGCATGTCTAAATAAGCGTAAAACTTGTATCGTGTATCGGTATAGAAGGATTGGTCCAGACTGAAAACATTCCGACTAGCTTTCTCATTGCTCCACGTGTAATTCTGCGAAGTAGAATCTTAGGTACCAAAGAGGAGGATAGCAGCAGCCATGGCAAATTCTAAGGATGATCATTGGTCCACGTCAGAGGGTAGTCTAGCGTGTTAAAATAATAGTCCTCCTCCTGAGATTCCAGAGACTCCTGACTCCGTCCCATTATAACTTATCTACACTCCACGTAAATTTACCTTGCTATAGTGTCTGTGTTATAATAAAGAAAAAAAATATAGAAGAAAAAAAAATAAAAGAAAAAAGTACGCCAGACACTTCCGTTTGTTTGACACGAGCGATAAGTGCTCGAAAATGGCGGGAGGTTTGCTAATAATGTATGTACGTACATACGTTACTTGTGGTAGCGCCAAGCGGCACGATAAGAGGTTATGCCGAGGAATCTGAAAGAAGGCGAAGGAAGGAAAGGTAAACGAATAAGAGGAAATTGGTAGTAGGAAGGTGGTAGATAAAATGGTGGAAGGGGGCTTATGATGGTGGGCAAAGAGTTGACTGTTAGTGGGAACAAGTATTAGTGAGTGAGCGAGGAACTAAATGAGCGAGCAGAGCGAGTGAGAGAGCGAGAGAGCGAGTGAGTGAGTGGCAATGGTATAAGACTATAGAGGGAGAAATAGCAGCTCTCTGGCTGATCCCGGTTCTACGTCTCCGAGAAGTAGAGTCACACTTGCCTCCGAGACGCCGTAGAGGATGCATCTCCGTCGGTTCCCGAGCTTGAGCGATGTAAACACAATTATTTCCGATCGAGCAGTACACGCGTGGAATTCAATAACAATACCAGTGACCCACGAGTAACAACTGAAAACATTCGTTCTAGTGAGACTAGTGAAATCAAATACTGACAGCCATTTTTTTATCGCGAGTGCACGAACGTTGACCAATTGACAACTTTGAAAACAGTGAACTGTAATATTTGGCCGTGTGATTATTTCTTGTGTTTCCTTTCCTTATTTTTTCTATTTCTGTTCTTCATATACATTGTCACGGCAACGTTTTCATCGAGACTCAAACCCTTTGTGATTTTTGTGTTGGATTGAACGTTGCACGACGGAAATACAGTGCGATCTTGGTAAGTGTTTATTGGGATCAAATATCCTTTTCTTTTTTAATGTCACGCCATGGATGCGCTTCGACGAATGCAAGATATCGGCGCTGTCTTCGGTGTAGACATTTACCTATCGATCCACCCACAAAACGGATACTCGATCTTGTCGAAGTCTTTCAGATCGATCGATTAAGAAATCGCTTGATCGTTGATTGGGATGAGAAAGCATTTGTGGTGGCGGCCTGTTTGGTCTACTATCGGTAGACCTTATTGGAACGCTCTGTGTTTAGAGAAAGGATTACAGGTCTGTTTACAGCGTGTCACTGTGTACTGGATTATTTATCAGGCATTTTACGAGTATCGTGCGACATTAACAGGTGTACATTAAACTGTGGTACGCTGATTTATTATAATTTTATTAATTTATTAATATTGCATAAGGCATACGTCCAGAGATAAATACACTCTCGAGATTTGTAATTACTCGTGTGTAATAAGATTTATTTTCTGATACTCATTATCTCTATGCTATTATGTACTTATATTACGTACGTGTTTATATTTTATACGTAATTTCTACCTCCATCGATTTAAAGGTTAGGCTCGTGCGTAGCGCGAATTATGAATTTAAATAAATCGAAGGCTGAGCGTCGTCGTTTTGAAAAAAATCGTTTGCCATTTTATTAGCGTTTGACTCACAAGCAAAAATAGTGGCTGTCATTATATGTTAGAGATACAACTTTAAAAAATCCTGCCGCCTTATCCCATTAGCCATTATAATCGCATAAACATATTCCACGCATTAACCATAAGCAGTAACGAGCATTGTCGTATGTAAGCGTTACAAGGCACTTACCGGTACTTTTTCATTCAATTCAAAAAGCTACAGTTAATCCGCACTTAAAAAACATTCATCCAAAAATTCATCTTTTTCCTTAATTGATCAAGTCACGAAATCTCGGTTTTGCACCGACTGAAATATGACTTTCGAAAAAAAAAAAAAATGTGCTTACTAGATTTTAACAGTCGGTCGTTACACATATTAATATCGATTCTGACTTTCATATTCATGCCCGGAACAGTTCTTTCCTTTTCTCCCGATATACCTCGTGTGCTTCTCGCACGTGTCGGACATGCCAACCGGAGCATGTTATTTTTTTTACACGCAAGCGTCTGTACGCGCACGTATGTATGCAGTAACTCTGAGAATAAGATCAGATCCCTTAAAGAAAATTTTGTTTCTTTTTTCACTCTCTCTCCTACATATAACTATATATATATACTGTATGAATATTTAAAGGATCCAGATCCATAAATGACGCAGCCTTCCAATTTGTACATAAATCAACATTCGTGCGTTAGGTCCTCCCGTTTCCTTCGAGATTTAATATTGCGTATCACGCACGTGCGTATTTGCCGACTATGCGAATCAGACTGTACGTCCTATTTCCACTTGATCTCCGACTACCGATTACAAGAGTCTATAACTTGCGTGCATAGGCGTCCATACTACTTAGCATGCGCCTTTCGTTAATCACATTTTATTTATATACATATATGTATTTAATAAGCGATACTCATTGGTACTATTGATGATTGATTCGCTGAAAATGGATGCAATTGAAATTGGAGCGCGTTTCGATTTTCCTGCGCATACCATCACACGCACGGTACGTATCTGCGTGTAACCGGTAGCGTGCAGGGCAAACTCTCGCCTCCCCGTATGGCATACTCGATTTCTCGGCATCTTTTTGTGCCTTTTAGAGAAACCGTCCTTCTGTCAGTCAGTCAGCCAGTCAGCCAGTTATTTAGCCAGTGTGAGCATTTAGTGAATTTTCAAAGCCCTCTTAGAATTATCGAGGATTCCAACAAGGGGTGTATACACATATGTATATATATGCATATAGAGTGAATCGTGCGAATGCACAATCCTGTCGTGATTTCTTTCGCCATTTTGAAAGGTTCCTCGTGGATCTTCCACTACCGTACGATTCGCGATAGAGTACGTTGCTCGACCGTCTTACGTAACTCGAATGTATTTTCGTACTTATATAGTGTTAAATACGTCGTGCAAAATTATTCAGTAGACTAATGAAATTCATGTGAGCGTCATATGAGATCTAGTCATATACTTGACTAATTGCGTATCCCTCCTTCGTCAGATAAAGTCTTGATAATTAAAGGTGGAATAGGTAAACAGGTCACGGTCCCGTAAACGAGATTGTTATAACCCGCTATCTAGATTGTATATGTATATATCTATATATTTGCTAAATTTATAAATATTAAACTATACACACTGCGTACGATTATGACTTTCCAATGTGAATTCACGGATTCACACGTTGCTCTTGGTACACCCGCTATATGGCTGTGTACTCACCTTAAAGTCGTCACGACATGGGACAACACCTAGCCATAACTGGCGTAATTTGATTGTGCAATGTTTAAAGTGTAACTTGTCAACGGCGCTTGATAATTTCCATAACTCGATAAGAGACTTTTGTGCGCGATTGCGATTTTTAATATTCGTATTGTTCTCCTGCGGGTACATGAATAAAAAAATTAAAAACCCGCGTCGCGAGATGTAGATGAAAAAAGAAAATATTCAACATTTTCACGCATTGATCTGCCAATCGTGTTTTGTTTTTGCATTATCATTACATTTTATCATTATCCTGTACGGCATCAATGATAAATTCGTACGTGAATTTGAGAATAAAAATTTTTTCCTTAGAAACATTGAATGTGGGAATTTTTTTTATCCAAGTCAGAATTATGGATTTCTAGTTACACACGGCGCCAGAGTCAATACGACGATATGTCAATTAATGGCGTACTATGCTCACAGTGACTTATCGAACCTCCTGTACCCCAGCAATACTACTACCACAGTGGTATGCTAACGTGGCATGACGTTCGTCCGTTAGACACTTGTGCCATCACGAATCGTGATCTTTGTTTACATTCTCGTACCGAATTCTACGACAGCCATGTTCAGGATATTATGAATCGAGCTTGAGTCTAGTCAGGAAGGATTCACGGGTTGGTCTTGCCGCCGACGTACTTCAGTATGCAAATACAGTACGCGGTGTATTGGAATGAGAATAATTTATTTTTGGCATATTCGATACCTTCATCTACGCCTGGGACGATGAAAGTGTACGTACTCAAAAATAGTAGGCGTAAGCACGAAGAACTATAGGTCTGAGTCATTGGCTGATACAAGAAACGGAAACCCTCTCTGTCGCTAGCGTGCTTGTAAAACATGGGTGTAGCGCGCTTTGCAATAACGTGGGGGAAAAGTGTGGATCGGGCAGGATCGTCAAGGTATCACAGTGTGGTGGGTACTTTGGGTTACTTGACTCAATTTTTCTTTCTTTCGCTTTGTTTTTCGACCATGCTGGTTACACTGCTTGACGTTAATGCGATGAGTCGGGTTGGCACGGAGAGACTGAGTCGTGACGTTTTAACGTACCGACTTACATATTTACTTTTTCTAGGTTCGGCTTCTTTGATGATGGGATGTTATGTTTGAGTGTATATATATTGATATTACGTAAATATTATTATTCGATTATTTTCGTAGTTTAAACTAGTTGCGCGTGTTCGCTGCAGTCTCGTTAGGTCTGTACCAGTGCTGGGAAACGGGGACCACTGTAGGAGGTTAGCTTATGATTAATACTGATGAGACGGGATTATTCAATTTATATAGGTCATTTTACGTGCTTGCTCAGTCACGTTTAGTTGTTAGCATTTTCCATTTTGCAATTGAACATACACGTAATGGAAAATTTGTATTCGCGTAACAGTGCAAACGAGTAATTGTGATTTCAGCGGGAAGCCGGCTTTATTTTCGAACGGGGGGATGTAGTTGGAAGTTGGCGGGAAACGTGTTTTTAAATTTTTTATATACTTAAAATACGTTTAACGGTGAATTCAGATATTTGAATATGTTTCTGACGGCTCGTTAAATAGTTAAGAGTATGTACAGTATGGGTATCGGATAAATTAAACTGTTTCGTCTAACTGTAAAGCTCAATCGGTCAGTGGTACGATCCTCTTAATTTATTGATTAGTAGAAAACCAGATCGGTCGGTTGTTATATTCAAGTATGTTTATAATCCTATAGTAAATTCCTTAGGTATAATGTGTTACGTGCGATAACGAATTTATACATTCGGTATAGGTTAAATATTGAATAGTCGATTCCACTTCTCCTACACGTCTCCTATCCAGAGTCTCACTTGACTCAGGATAAATGCAAGCGACCGGTGACGCTTTCCCGTTGGAATGTCGATGAAAAAGTGGAATATTTGAATACCAACGAGATTCGATCTGCCGTCTAGATACACACAGACAAATGGACTGGTGTCAGCTTTTGCATTCCTGGCTGACGACCTTTTCTCGAATGGTCGTACAGTTCGATCTTATCCCGTTTACGCGCGTAGATACTTTAAATTAGAAATTTGCTAAAAAGTTTGAAAAATATTAATTTAATTTAATATAATTAAATATAAAAAATTATTAAGACTTGTGGCCATCTCGCAGGTACGTCATTTGGTAATATTTAATACGCTCGATGCGTTTCGAGACTAATCAGAATTCCTGCTAAGAGACGTTTCTTCAGTCGAATGACGTTCTGGTAGAATTTCCATGGAGCGACGGAATGTTTGAAGATAGGGAACAATTTATGTGGTATAGTATAACCAGTAATTAGTATGCAACTCGGACCGAATCTTTGGGTCCAGGTCTATTCAGAGGTTCCAAAATAAAATTGTCGTATTGGGATATACTATGTGTGAACTATGGGAATGTCGTATGGGATACCTGGGTAATTACGTATGTGCGCATGGACACGGAGCCATTGAGCACGAGAGCGTCGAGAATAAATATTCAAGAAATGCTTAGTGATTGGATATGGTGTCGTCGCTGTGTACTTGGATTAACCAGACGAGAAAGGATGTAAAGTTATGCGCAACCTAGAAGGCCCCTGGCTACCGTAAGGATTCATGAGAATCGCG